TAATGTTCATAACAGCATATATCTATTTATACTTAATTTTATTGTTTTATTGCCCTTTGAACTGCCCTTAACTGATAATCCATAAACAAATATGAAATAAATCTAAATTACCCTTTTTTGTCTAGAATGACTGCAGATTGTAAAATGAAACTACAGTTGTTTATCCTAAATAGCTTAATGTTCATAACAGCATATATCTATTTATACTTAATTTTATTGTTTTATTGCCCTTTGAACTACCCTTAAATGATAATCCATAAACAAATATGAAATAAATCTAAATTACCCTTTTTTCTTTCTAAAATGACTGCAGTTTGTAAAATAAAACTACATTGCTTGTTGTAAATAGCTTAAGGTTTGTAACAGCATACATCTGTTTATACTTAACTTTATTGTTTTATTGCCTTTTGAACTGTGTCTAACTAATAATCCTACTACTAAAGCTGTAAGTCACTCAGCAGACACATAGCTCTTGTCATCATATTGAATTCCGTAATACATGAGCTGTTCATGCCAGATAACAGGTGTTCTCAACACAATGTGTATAGAAACAAGATTTTATATGTGTGGATGAGAGGACCCTTTCTTCAAAGTCTTCGATGAAAATGTCTGCTAAGACTGGAGAGAGTGGTGATCCCATGGTTAAATTGTCCATTTGTTCATAGAACTTGTCATTGTATTGAAAGTAAGTTGACTGTTGGCAAATTGTCGTTAATTCCATGAGTGTCTATCTTCAAGTCAGTTCTATGTGGTAGAGAGTTGTCATTCAGCATTTGTTGTCTTGTGATGTGAATGTTTTTTTGGGGTTGGAAAATTGGTAAATAGGTAAATTGACAAGAATATCCTGGGGTTTGATGTGTTGTTTTCTGAGTTGTTCTATGAAATCTTTCAAGTTGTGACCCTTGTAGTGGAGAAAAAATAGGTACTAAGAAAGTAGCTACTTGATGGCAGGGTGAGTTTATAGCGCTGACGATGGGTCTTAAATGGATATTAGGTTTGTGTACTTTAGGTAGTCCGTGAAACTAAGAAGGAAAGTTTTTGTTGGTCCTTAAGTTCTTCTATTTTTGTTGATTAAGTATTGTTTCATGAGTTTGTTTAGCATTCTGTTGATGAGTTTCTCTGTCTTTTCTGTAGAATCATTGGTAATCTTTTTGTATTGATGTTTGTCTAGTAACTACTTGATTTTAATGTCATAATTGTTGATGTCTAGGATGATTATACTGTTGTTTTTGCCAGCTAGTAGAATCTTGATTGTGTTCAGCCATAGGTTTGGGAGGTGTTGTGCAGCAGATTCAAAGTTTGCAGGTATGTGTACTGTTGGAATTGTACTGGGTTGTATAGCGAGGTTTAGTCCTAGGTTAAGGTGT